TCATATGATCACTGACAAATTTAAAGGGATGTAGTCTTCTTGTTAACATTGAACTTTATAATCTTTTAGTAAGACAGAAATTCATTAACATTAGGGAGATGGGAAAAGGAAATTTCTGTGGGACTGTAATAAAGAAAACAAATGATTTGCAGTGAAAGAAGTGATGAAGTAAGAGAATGCTTCCTTATATGCATGCAAATTGTTAGGCAAGTGTTTGGGTATAATAATATCTAATTTGTACTAAGCATTTATTATATATCAGGCATGGTGCCAAGTACTTTTTACTGTGTTGCTTGGGATGGAACTCAGGACCTTGTGCATGCTAGGCATATCCTTGGTCCTTTTTATTTTGAGTCAAGGTCTCACCAATTTGCCCAGGCCAGACTCAAACATGAGATTTTCCTGCCTCAACCTCTGGAGTAGCTGAGATTACAGGCTTATAGGCATCTGCCACTGTACATGGTGCCAAGTACTTTTTATATGTATTCCCTAATGAAACCTTGTATTAACTCTATGGTAGAAGTGTTGTAGGTGAGTGTTTTTTTGTGTGTGTATGGATATGTTTACATATTTATGTATACATATTTTCTGTTACATGTATCTTAAAGGTAACAATTTGTTCATATGCAGTAGAAAAAGATTAATAAAAATATAAAGTTTATTTTCCAAGAGATGAGCATAGTTTACCTTACTATGGAATACTAACAATAGTATGGAATGAACACACATGGCTACACTATTTTCTTACTCTTACTGTATACACATACATTGCCTTAAGAATGTGTCCCCTATTCTTCTGAGGTAGGACAGACAAAATAATATATAGGTAAAAAGGGGCTAAAGTAATAATTTTAAAAATTGTACTTTTAAGACTACTTTGACCCAGTAAAAGCCACCCAAAATGATCCATATCAGGATTCCCTTAGTTAAATTTAGGCTCCTTTCCTTCTAGACCATCGTATTCAAAATTCTGCAGGAATACTCAAAGTCCATAAACTGACTTAATTGAGAAAGTAAAAAAAATAAAAAACTATAATAGTACACAAGATCCTAATAGGCTAATTAATGTGAAATAGGAAGAAAAGGGCTAAAGTGGGAAGGGTAGGGGAAAGGGAATAAGGGAAAATAAAAAACATGAGAAAATGAAAAAAATGGAAATAAAGTGTTTGTAAATGGGGAGGGGGGTTGAAGGGAGGACAGGGACAAGGGGAAAAAATGAGAACCAAGACCTGTCATGTAAAGGTACAAGATCCCAGTAATGAATGTAACTGTACTGTATACCTAGAATGTAACAATAAACTCAATTAAAAAAAAAAAAAGAAAGTAAAGAGCAGGAACCTGATCCTAAAATAAAGGAACAAGATGAAAGAATTCAAAGAATGCTTAAATTATCCATCTTTAAACAAAACAAAAATCTGGGCTCATACCTACAATATGGGCCAGTATCCTTTGGGGGACACCTTTCCCCTGAGGTTCTCACCCCCTTAAGAGGAGAATAAATGTTCCCTCATTCCAGAAATAAGGTGTATACCCTATTTCTTTGCGTGTGTACCTTTTAATTTTTGCCAAATAAAATCTTTCCTGTGCCTCTTGCTGACTAGTCCTGAAAATTATTTTTCTGTGACAGGAGTAAGTGAACTTGCAAATTTATTTTATGGGGTAGGGTGGGTTACTTTCCCATCTCGACTTTGGGAATCTCCTGTCTGGTGACATTTCTATTTTGTGTTTCTCTCATGACAAGCCTAGTGAACACATTAGCTCAAACCTGTGTAAGCAGCCTGCTCTTCAGCCTGATTTTAAGAATTTCAGGTAGTGTAAGGGAGGGCAGGGATAAAGGGAAAAATAAGAACCAAGACCTGTCATGTAAAGGTACAAGATCCCGTACCAATAAACTCAGTGAGAGAGAGAAAAAAAAAAAAGAATTTCAGGTAGTGGATAAGAAGAAAAGCCTCATGTTTTAAAGAGAAAGTTGAGAAAGTAAAATATTTTCAAATAAATGAGAACATTTCTAGCACTAAAGAGTAATCCACATAGCCCACATTTAGGAACAAAGCTAAGAAAACATAAGAAAGGAGATCTTGCGCATCATAGTTATTTGTGTCTAGTGGAACTGAAAAGCACTAGACACTCAGAAGAGATTAAAGTTACTCTAATGCTCCATAACGGGGATGCAGTTTATGCATTTTATTGCCTCCCAGCTCATTAGAAGCCACATAACTTTTTTTTTTTTTTAACGAAAGGAGGAAACTGGCAGAATAAAATGAGATTTTTATTATAAGTCAGTTTTGAAGATGGAAAAACAGAACAATAAGTGACAGTAATCCATCTCAGGTGTCACTGTATTTTAGCCTAAGATTACTTCTCTACTATGGAAAATAATTAGCTTATTTCCTTCCAAGTAAAGTCTACAAGGAAAATGTAAAAATTTATAAGCAAAAGATAAAGTGAGCTAAATTAAAAGGTAATCTAACCACCAAAAAGTGGAGGAACATACATGTTAGTTCAATTTATCCATTTTACAGTGTATACATATTCTAAAATATGTACATGATAATATATACGATTTTTATTTGCAAAAATAACTTTGTAGATATAAAGAAGACATGTGGGGCTCAGGATTTAGCTCAGTGGTTCTGGCGCCTGCCTTGCAAGCTCAACGACCCGAGTTTGATGCCTGGTATCAAAAACAAAACAAAACAAAACAAGAAGACATATGACAAACTTCACTGTAATAATGAAAAAATTCTTAACATAATGCATTAAAAGCTCCTAGAAATCCAGAAGGAAAGGCCGTAAATATTCCAATAAAAAATGGGCAAAGGATACCAAACGTTAACATAGGAAGAAACCACTTAACTCCAATAAAAGTGGTGGTGAACCTATGGCATGCATGTTATTGTGCTTTTAAAACAAACAAAGTTAATGAACAGTTGTTTCTTCTAAACAAAACATCAGTATTTAGATTTAACTGCAGTGTTGGCACTTTGTGATAAAATAATTTGATTTGGGGTTGCAGTTTGGCACTTGATCTTTAAAAGGTTTGCCATCACTGCAATTAAAAAATACAGTATGAAATTATGTACCATTATAACCTATTATTATAACCTATAACAAAAATATTTTTATTTTTGTTGTTGTTGGTTTGTTTTTTGAGACAAGGTTTCACTGTGTAGCCCACGCTGGCCTCAAACTCATGGCAATCCTCCTGCCTCAGCCTTCTGAGTGCTAGGATTACAGGCACACACTGCCTGGCCAGCAAAAGTATTTTTAAAAAAGATTTTTAAGAAAGAGTTCAGTAATTTTTTCTTGGAAAATGTATTTAAAGGAAATAATGAGACTAGAGATCAAAGGCATATGTGCAAGTATATTCATTGCATACTTGTACATTCATTACATATTATACAAGAAAAAACTTATATTAAAATATTGTAATACAAATTTATTGAGACAGATTAATACAAGTTACCTTTGACCTCTACAATTACAAGAAGTGCTCAAAGTAGTGGCCATTAGCTTCCAGACATTTATTAGAATGGCAAACAACTGTTTTGGGTAACTTTGGTCATTGAGATTGCTGCATGTGCATTTTCCTTCTCTAAGGGCTGGCAGTGCAGTGGGTTTTGTACAATTTGCAATATTCTCTAGGGTCTTCCACATTAGGGTATTACGTTCTATTGAAAAAATATACTATTTTTCTTTTCTTGAAGTATGTATGCATCTTTTTTTTTTTGATGGACTCTGTATAAATAAAGCTGCTTGGTGATGTTTTTGGATGCAAGCACCTTGATCTTTGAAGATCCATTGCCACAATGGATCCCAACCTCTAAATTCAGTTGGAATTATTTGATATGGTATTCGGTTATCAAGACACTTTTTCATTTACTTATTTTGGGGGGGTTAAAATTTTTAAAAATTAGTACATGTTTGCACTTCACCCAGTTTACAATCATCTTAGGGAGTGGTTACATATACATACCTTGTTTCTTTTTTTAAAACATAGGTTCTTCATTTTTTTAATCCCCTTCTAATTCCCTCTTTCTCCCTCCGTCCCCCTTCAATTCCCCTACCCCATTTTTCATTCTTATTGATATTATTAATCTTAGCTTATGTTATGGCATATAATGTTTACATTAATTAAGTTATTAGGTTGCTGTATATGGCACATCTCTATTCTACTTATTTCCCCTACCCCTCCTCCTGACCCTTTTTGCCCCTCTTCCCTTGGACTGCTTTTCTATTGCAAGAGCTCCACCTTCTTGTCCCTTTCTATCCACCCTTTATCATTCTCTTTGTACCTTGCCTCACTCAAATGAGATACCGTAAGGTATTTAAGCCTGTGTGTCTGGTTTATTTCGCTCAAAATTATATTTTCCAGGTTCATCCATGTTCCTACAAATGTCTCGAATCTGTCATTCTTTATAGTGGAATGGTATTCCATTGTATATAGATACCACATTTTCTTTATCCAGTCATGAGTTGATGGGTATATAGGCTATTTCCAGGATTCTGCTATTAGAAGATGCCAAGACACTTATTTAAATTAATCTTAATATTGACTTTGCCGTTGAAAATGTTCTAATTTTGGTTAAATATCTGCCTGGACCCAAACCATTCAAAGTGAATGCACAATTAGCAAACCTTATGGATGTTCTTTGCTCTACTTTGTATTTTCCTAAGACTCAATAATTACAAAAGAAAGGGCCTGTGGGTCTGAAAATGGTTATAATTGAAGAGCTGAGGTTAAAACCATGAACTAGAAAAGCCTTACAAACCTCGCCGTCGTCTCCCTAAGGTTCTCCAAACGCCATTTTAAGCATCGGCTCCCACACGTTAAGAGAAAACGTAGAGATTTCCTTGAGGATTTCCAGCCAATGGTTACACTTCTGCTCTCCCTAGCAACTGCCTGCCAATGGGCGGAGGTCTATCTTTTGCTCCCTACGGTTCCTTTTCAGCCAATCGGCAATGTTCTTCAAACGGATTGAGAAGCCTTGGACTGGGAAGGCGACTTCACTTCCTGGCCCTAGTCTGGGGTGGCTAAAACTGTTGCCATAGCGACCATTTTACGTTAACTGGTTTGTATTTTATCCAGGTGGCTGCACGACACCGGGGGAAACTCTTCTCCGACTCCCTCTTGGTTCTTTGCGGCGGCGGCTAGGTTTTAACAAGATCCGCGAGTCTGGCCTGGGAATCTGCTCCCAGTGGGGGCGGGATGGCTGCGGAAGAAGAGGACGAGGTGGAATGGGTAGTGGAGAGCATCGCGGGTTTCCTGCGAGGTCCTGACTGGTACATCCCCATCTTGGATTTTGTGGAGCAGAAATGTGAAGGTAAAAACCAGAGTTCAAACTGACCATCTCCCCTGGCGTCTCTCACACCAGCAGTCTTCAGGAAGGAGGTCATTAGAAACTTATCGCTTGCGTCTCCATCCATCCCTGTGGGGCAGGCAGGTTTAGAGCTCGTTATGTAGGAGGAATTGTATTCACTCCACAGATGGCTCCCTTCGCAGATCTGAAAATGAGGACGGACTCCGCACCCCCACTCTCGGACCCAGGCTCCAGGGACTAAAAATTTTAAACTTTAACCTTGTGTTCGTCCTTTCACTCCATCACGCACGTTTTTGCCCTTGGCAGGTAGACTGTTTCATTGGGCCTCTTCGGCAGCTTCGCCAGTCACTTGAGAGGAAAAACGTGTTTGCCTCTGAGTTCCTTCTGATTCGTAGCATTTCACCCTGTCAGTCTAGGAAATGAAAAATGCTTCACCCCCTATCGACATTGACATACAGAGTAGAGAGATCTGATTACTGCAGCGGGACCAGGGCCGGTAATCTCGGTGGCCTGTATTCCCCTTGTTGAGTTCTCTCTTACCTGTACCATTCCTTGTAACAGTGAGACTTGCCGGTGTGCTGTAATAGACCCTTTGAGGAAAGATCCTTCGGCCTTCTGATAAGTTCGCACTTGGGAGTTCTGAATTCAATTCTTGCAGACAAATTGGACTCCATTCACCGAAAAGGAGGAACCACAAGTTGTCATACAAACTAGTGTCCAATCATTATCTTGGTTATTTAGCCTGGTAAAACTTGGAGGGTAGTAATATTCCCAATCATTTGTCTTGTACTGGAGGGATTAGACTTGTTTTTAAGGATCAGTGGAATGGAGCCAGGGTTAATGGGTACAAGCTGAAGGGCAACATTTTAGTGGTGGAAATGCTTCATAAGGGAACATAACGAGGATGAGTTTGCCTGCCTAAAAAGGTAACATGTTCCTCAGGCCCTAGAGATATTTGAATGGATCTGCTGTGATTTAATGGAGATAGTAGAGGAGATTCAGCTGCCAAATGGTTTGTTATCCTGGATAATATTTTAAGAGTTCTTTCAACCCTAAGATACCAATTAATACAATAAAGGTGAAATTTCATTTGACCACTGATTTTTTTTTTTTTTTTTTTTTTTTTTTTTTGAGATGGGGAGGTCCTTACTGTCTTCTCTAGGGAATTTCCCGATCCTCCGTCCTCAAGCCTTTCCAGTAGCTGGGATTATAGGCAAGCACCACCACACCTGGCTTGAATCTTTATTATATTCTCATTATCAAATACTAATTACTAAGTGTTATTTTTACAGGGAATTTTAAAGGAGATTAAAAAACAAAGCTTTTATTTGTATTCCTTTAAAGATTCAAAATGCTACATTGTGACTATAAGACATGTAGAATTCTGACCTCTTTTTAATTATGTCATCTATCGATGTCTTTTACTTAACTGAGACTAAATGCTGAGATAGAAAAAAAATTAAAGCTCACCTTTTTTATCCTTAAAAGCCAAAAGTGGATCCATTTCAGTACTGACATACCCGATTGTGTAATTTTATAGAGTCAAAGTCTCAGCTGCATATACATGTACTATATCTAGTAATTTGATTTTAGAACTAATAGAAAACAGCTTAAGTAGCTGTTGTAGTGAATGTGAAGTGCTGCATAGAGCAGATACAGGATAAAAAGAAGTAACATGCCAGTGACACTTGAAATAACTGTTTATACTTCACTAACTTGGGGTTGTCAGTGTGCTATAACTTGCTTTAGACAATTTAAAGATTAATTTTATACAACTTTATTGCATCAAGATTTACTTCAACAGATTTGAGTGTTTTTGGACCAGAAGCAAGGGATAGATGAATAACAAAATCCTGTGCTTGAGAAATTTATAGTCTATAGGAGAACAACCAGGTAAACAATAAAATGCAAAGTATCAAGTGCTATAATAAAGGTAGACACAGAATGTTGTCTATTATGAGCTAAGAGGAGAGAATCTAGCCAGCCTAGAGCTGGAAGTGGGTATCAGGTCATGGAGAATGTGACACTTGGCAGTGTCTTAAAGAATGGTGTGGAGAAAGGAGACATGGGATGGCGTAAAGGCAAAACACTGAGGAAAGGCTTGGACAAAGGAAAAGGGGTTTACAACTTCACTTTGGAGCTATTCCATGTGGTTGTGTTTTGTTAGGATGGCAAAATTTAGATTTTTGGAGTGGTGGGAGATGACACTTGGGATCTAATCTTGCAAAGTCTTGTTAAGCCTAAGTATTCTGTACACTTGTTGAGTTTTAAACTGAAAGTTATAGAAGTTCGTTTTGCATTTTAGGAGGATTGTTCTGGGGGAATTAAAAAATGCTTATGGTTTATAATTTGTGAATATGCCCTACCCAATTAGATTGAGCTTTTACCTCCAAAGTTCTGGGAGTTGAACACCAGGACCTTTGCATTGAACTACATCCCCAGTCCATTTTATTTTAAGACAAGATCTCACTGAGTTACCCAAGCTGGCTTTGAGTATTGTAATCCTCATGCCTGAACATCCCAGAGCACTGGAATTACAGGAATGCACTTCTACTACATCCAGCAGATAGTAGCTTCTTTAAGGGATATATATCTTTTTAAACCTACATTTTTTAACACAGTGATCTATGGCAGCAAGAATGGCCTGGTCACATTCAGTAAAATTTGCATTAGCAAAGTTCCAGTATAGTAAAATAATTTAGGGACTGTTGTAAAGGGATTTAACATTTTTTAGGGGGTACTGGGGATCAAACTCAGGCCCTTGAGCTTGTGAGGCTGGCAGTGGAACCACTGAGCCAAATCCCCAGCTTTAACATTTAATATTAATACATTAAAAGTGACAAATTGTTCTTTGTCTTAAATATGAGGTAGTTTTGTTTTGAGTATTTTCTTAAAACTTGTTTACAATTAATACTTTATATATATTTTTATTTTTTATTTTTTTGGCTTTTTGAGACATGGTTTCACTATGTAGTTGAGATTGACCTGGAACTCACTATGTAGTCCAGGGTGGTCTTGAACTCACAGCAATCCTCCTGCCTCAGCCTCCCGAGTGCTGGAATTACAGGTGTGCACACCCATGACTGGCTTAATACTTATATATTTTTAATATATTTATGTGTGTATATATATATATATATATATATTTTTTTTTTTTTTAAACTGCAACATTTGAAGCTGAAGAGCTAAGTAATCAGAATGATTGTTCTATTGTAAATAGTGGGTTTTTGTATTTGTGTTAATGAAATTATTGTTTTTTAACACTATGTAATGTTTTTCTTATAAATTTAGTTTTTGATGATGAAGAAGAAAGCAAATTGACTTATACAGAGATTCATCAGGAGTATAAAGAACTAGTAAGTATTTTTTTACTGATTTTTAAAAAAGGCAATTGGATATTAATACTTGTTGCTTATCTAAATTTTAAAAAATGGATTGGTTCATAAAATTCTTTAATTTTAGAAATATCCAATCTATCCTAATATTAGTACCAGTTTATCAGACTCCATGAATTATCGGAACATCTCATTTTTATGCTTTTGTATCTCTTTGACTCCAGAATCTAAGGAATGGTTTTACCACAGTTGTGGGGATCTTGTATTTGATTTTTAAATTTATTTTTATTTGGCTGATGCCTCCAGAGAATGGTTAGTTTTTCACTGTTATGGTTGTCTTGTGAGTTCTTTTTAAATGCTGGTTAGAGAAGAGTTGTGGCACGTTGAACTTCATAATCCTTATTTACTTCTAGTAGGTGAAAGAAAATTTCATGTGATTCTCTGCAAAACAAACAAAATACCCTTATTGTTTGTTTTTGGTGAAAGCCAGTATTACTTCTATGTAATGTAAAATTATGTAGATTAATAATTCCAAGACTAAACTCACTGTTCTAAATCAATACTTAATAGGAAAACTGTCATTTAGAATTTTTCTATCAAAATTAACCTTTTTCTTTTTAGGTTGAAAAGCTGTTGGAAGGTTACCTCAAAGAAATTGGAATTAATGAAGATCAGTTTCAAGAAGCATGCACTTCTCCTCTTGCAAAGAGTCGAACATCACAGGTTTTTGCTTTTGTTTTATTTTAACATAATTGTAATACAAACTCCTAAGGTTTCGCTTAAATTTGGTATGTTTGTGAAGTATAATATTTTAGATACTCTGAGGAGTGAACAAATGATTCCTTATATATAGGTTCTTTTTACAACAGCTTTGACATATAATTCATAATTTAAGGCATTAATAAACCAATACAATTAAAAATGAACTTTCAGAACTATAATAAGATTGTAAGTTTTATTGAAATTGCTTATTTATATAGATTTTTGATAATTCCTCATCTGCCTTTAGTAGATCCACACTTCGTAGTTCTTGGGACTTCTTCTCTTAGTTCTCTTAGAACTATTTTTATTGTCTCATTAGTTCTCCAGTACTGGGCTGAAGAAGATAATAAATGCGCATTTGTAACTAATGATTTTTGGACTTTTTTGGTACTAGGGATTGAATTTGGGACCTTGCACTTATGAAGCAGGCGGTGGCACCACTGAGCTAAATCCCCGGCCCCAGTGACTAATGATTTTTGAGAGCTTATGCTACTTGATGTTTTATGCCCTGGTGTATATTATCTTATTTAATCATTAAGATACCTCCTAAGAAACTGGTACTGTTTAGCTTCTATTTGTAAACGAGAAAAGTAAAGCACATTAATACTAAGTAGGAGCACCAATATATCAACCCAAGCAATCCAACTGAGAGCCCTTTCTCAGAGGTTGAGTATAGGAATATGTTGCTACTACCCAAGTACTACTTTTTTCAAACACTTGCTTTGGTTCCTGTCCTCTACTAAATAAACTGTGACTCCTTAGCAAGATGATAGTGATGATTGTGATGTGACCTCAACTTATATTTTCAGCCTGATTTCCTCCTATAGTTCTCCAATACTTATGAACTGTCATTATTCTAGGCCACTCACTCTTACAAGCATTTGTATACTTGGCTTTGCTTATGCTGTCCTTTAATCTTGAACAGTGGTGGCGAACCTATGGCACACAGGCTACAGCAGGCCATTTGTATCGTTGAGAGCTCTAAAAAGTTTTCCATCACTGACCTAGAATGTGTGTCTAACCCACTTTACTGTTCTTTCCTTAACTCAACTCTTCATCTTCAGAGTCTGGTTGAAATGGTACTTCTTGTGGCAGCTTTGATGCTCCATCTAAACAGACTGGAACTCATTGTTTCTCATTACGTACTTTTACTTAGATATTTTTGGTACTCTGAATTATAGTTTCATACAAGTCCATTTGCCGCATTAGATTGTAAGTATTTGGGGCTATTTCTGGTATCTTTGCTTTAGAGATAAGAGCTTAGTTTCTAGTAGGTCGTTCACAGTAAATATTTGTTAATTGTGGCCTTGAGGTTACTTTGACTATTTTTTAACCCAGCATTTCCTGCATAACTTTCTTCTCATTTAATGAGCACTTCTATTTCTAGGATGAAAATCTTCAATGTGATATTAAAAATTTAAATGTTATTGGTATACCCAATTAATGTAAATACTTTATTAGTTAATAATTACATAAAGCAAATGTTTTATAGTTCACCAGTAGCTTTTATTAATCTAAGAAATAGTAACAGGGATGATTTTCTTCTTTTAAATGAGACAAGAATAATTTGATTGAAAACTACAGATGATCCTTGACTTACATCCTGATAAACATAAATCCCGGATTTATGTCCTGATAAATCCATCATAAGGTGAAAATATTGAAAGTCAAAAATGCATTTTATGCATCGAACCTGCCAAACAACATACTTTAGCAACACAGACACGGTGGAGTATTGTTATTTCCCCTGGGGTCGTGTGGTTGACAGGGAGCTGTGCCTTGCTGCTGCTGCCCTGCTTTAAGAGAGATTATGGTACTGCATATTGTTGGCCTATGAAAGATCAAAATTCAAAAGTCAAAGTGTGTTTTCTAGTTAATATGTATTGTTTTCATACAATTATAAAGTGGAGAAATCATAAGCCTGGGACCATCTGTAAGAATAAATACACCCACCTACCTTTTGTTTGTATTGTCAGGATATCTGAATTATTTGTGAATGTAGAAATTCAAATGTAGACATTTAAAACACTGTTTTTAGATCAAGATCAACATATTACTATACACATTCTTTGATTCTCGTATACACATTTTAATTTGCTTAGAGTTGATTGGTAGAATAGAACAGTCTTGTTATATATAAGGAAGCAAGCCTTTTGAGACGGACTTACCTTGGTTCTTTCGTTTACTAGCTGTAAGATGTTGAACAAAAGCTTTTATTTTATAGATTACCTTCTTAATCTTTTTGTTTCCCAGTTTTCACATTTGTATGTAGGTGTAGTATCTATTTTTAAAGTTTTTTTGGTGATGTTTAAGAAATGTACATAAACCATTTAGCATAACACCTGGTGTACCATAGGTAGCCTATTAATAAATTAAGCACTTTGTTGTTTGATTAACACTATGGCGATCAGATCAGATCTTGGGTTCAGTTTCCACATGGAGTAGTTAGCATTATTCTCTACTAGAGCAAACTCTTAGTCACCAGATACCAGATAGCAACAGCGAGTCAGCACCAGGTTATCATCATTAATGAAAAAAGAGTTTGGAGCACAGTATTTACTGCTTTGCAGCTATCTAATCTTTAACATGAAAATCAGAATGTTGATTTCATTATGCCAATATGAGGGTTCTAAGAATGCACTCAAGAAACCAATAGCTTACCCTAGGTAATTTAGGAAGCAATTTTTGATTTTGTTTTGTTGGAGTTGATTTAGTTTTGATTTTCTAAACCAGCTATCAGCTCCTATTAAATTGTACTACTAAATCAGAATTGTAAATTCTTTTTGGTTTGTTTAATCAGTAGACCTAAACCAGTGGTGACAAACCTATGGCATGCCTGCCACAGTGGGCTGTTTGTATCGCTGAAAGCTCTGAAAGGTTTCCCATCATTGACCTAGACCCCTGGTCCTAGCATATGCTTTGTGTATTTAAGCCAGCAAGAGTGGCAAGGAGTGCATCAGTTGAAACGTTCCACTTAAAAAGGAACATCAACAAAAAACCTTCCAACTTTTTAATGTCATAGTTTTCCATTGTGTACCTGTGGATTCTAAAAGAAGTCCATGAGTTAGAATACTTAACTATCAATTTAGAAAAGTATGACAGTATAATAAATAGTGAGATATTATTTTAGTTGAACTTCAGAATTTTTTTGGATTTTTCAGTTGTCATAGGTAAAAATGACTCCTACTTATGATTTTTTTGCAAGGATAAAGCTTATTATTAATTTCAACATATGGGAAAAGCAAGGGACTTATATATGCAAGAAACAGAAGATATGTGTGTGCATATTTTATTTTATTTGCTTTGACTTTTATATGATAGAAACCAATACTTGCAGAAACAGTAATTTTTTTATAATAGTTCAGGAAAATTGTGCTTTTTAAATTTAGCAACTGAAATGTTGAAAAGATTATATATATTTGTACCACTTAATTTCTAAAAATCCACATAGTATAATAGGCATATTTTCTGTGAGTGCTAGTTAAGGTTTAAAAAATTAGTAGACTTTAGTTTCACTACCCTGAAAATCTCCTGTGTCCCACATATTCATCCTTTCTGGCCTTCTCCCAATCCTTTGGCAAATATTTTGCAAAACTTTCTTTTGATACTTTTAAAAAATTGTCTTAGAATAGTTTTCTCTTTCCAGATGACTTAGATATTTCAGATCTTTTCCTTTGGTCTAGTCCTATGACCAAAATTCTATAGAAACAAATCATTTTCTACTCAAAGGAAATGAGGGAAGGTGTAGGGTTTTAAATAATAATAATGGCTTGCTTGGTTCTTTTGCTGAAATGCTTTGTATATAAGGACAAACAAAAACCTTGCCACCAAATATACCAAAATACACCTCTTTCACAAGTGAATTACTGGTGTTGCTATTTCTGGAACATCATGTCTGTTTTATTTACTGACTTTTACATTTTAGGAAGGAAAATGTTTTTGTTCATTAAAAACTGAAGCTGGGTGGGGTGATAAGTGCCAGACTGGGAGACTGAGGCAGAAGAATTCAGAGTTCAAATCCAGTTTGGGCAATTTAGCAACTCAGTGAGCCCTGTCTAAAAAAAATAAAAAGAACAACAAGAAGGGGCTGGAAGTGTAGCTCACTTTGAAGGCCCTAGTTTCAATCTTCATTACCACAAAAACAAAACAAAGCACTCCCAAACAACAACAGCAGCAGCAGCAGCAGCAACAAACACAAAAAATTGAATTTCTTGGCTGAAAATAAATCCAGATACCATAGTGGTAACTTTAAAAATATAAGGCAGAGTTCTGTATTGTTTTTCACAGTCATTTAGTACTGGTTCATTTGGAAAACTATGTCACTGTTAAAGGTAGCTTACTGGAGGCATGAGAATTTAGAAAGTCTTTCTCTTGAAAATCCTATTTAAAGGCTTTTATAAGACATGGATTAACAAAAAGATGGATAATAGGACACAGGAAGAAAGGTATTTTGCAAATAGGAAAGGGATGAAGAGATGGATGAAAGGGACATACAGAGAATTAAGAAGTGTTATATCACACACCAACTCCCCAATGAATGTGATCATTATGTACTGCAAACATGTACCAATAAAAACAAAAAATGAAATAAAAATTTAAAATCGTTGGCATCACTTAGTCATAAATCATGATGTAGCATTCTTGAATTAATGTGCTGTTTTATTGGATGGGATATAATTTTAAAACTTGGATCTTCATTTAACCTCCTGATTTCTTTCCACAGGCTATTTTGCAACCTGTATTGGCCGCAGAAGATTTTACTATCTTTAAAACAATGATGGTCCAGAAAAACATTGAAATGCAGCTGCAAGCCATTCGAATAATTCAAGAGAGAAATGGTAAAATGTTGAAGTTTGAAATCCAAGTTCTAAATCCATTTTTAAAATTTTTGTCAGTTCTCGTTATGATATAGTCAAATGTAGCTGCTTTGTATAAATTTATTTCAAGTTTGAAAACTTTTGGTTAGTGAAAGAGCTTTTAAGTGTGTAAACTTCCTGGTTAGCGTGTATTTGACATCTCAAAGAAAACAGACCAAAATTTGATTGAATGGTGCTTTAGATTTTAAAGAACTTTTTTTTTTTAACTCAGCCATGTGTTTATGAAATTTGGTATTTTTGAGGGATTTAAGTTACTGTTGAGAGAAGGTGCCTATTCTCCTGGCTTATTGTTAATGTCTTGGTAAGAGATAATGGTTTCCAAGTTTTTGTGAGCATTGGAACCAATTTGAAGGGTTGTTGAAACATTCAGCAAGCTCCCAGTGTCTTAACTGAGCAGGTCTGGGCTGGGGTCTGAAGATTTGCATGTTTAACATGTCCCCAGGTCATGCTGAAGCTAGATGGAGGTGGGACCACACTTAGAACACAAGTCTAAAACACAGGTGGATGTGATTATCACACCAGCATCATATGGAACAAAGAGAAATAAGGCTCTAGTAACCTTCATTGGTTTCATTTTTGCCTGTCTCCATGCTCAAACTTTCTCTCTTGCTTTTTCTTTTGTTTCCTTCTTGTGTGCCTGCACTGCATTAGAAATTCTGATTCACAACAGCTAAGTTGCTAACCATATTTTTTGTTATTTTACATCTCTTACTTGAAATAGATTCTCATTTCTGTTTCAGATTTATAGCTCCACCTGGGGATACAGATCCATGTTAAGAATTCTTGCCTAACAAGCATTAGGCCTTGGGTTCAGCCTCCAGCACCACAAAACAAAGTAACAACTGTAAAAATAATCCCAGTTTTTGGTAATTTCATTTTCATGTGTGTTTCTTTTGTTTTGTTTTCCTCAGTAGATTGCTTCTGATTTTTTTTTTTTTTTTTGGTACCAGGTATCGAACTGAGGATCTTGCACTTGTGAGGCAGGTGTGGTGCCACTGAGGTGAATCCCCTGCCCTGCCTCTGATAGTCTTTACAGTGGTTAACAACCTTTTTTTCCCCCTAAGTACTGGGAATTGTAGGATCTTCGTACTGAGTTACATCCCCTTCCCTTTGTTTGTTTATTTATTTATTTATTGAAACAATTTTTTCATTTTTTGTTTTTGGTACCGGGGATCAAACTCGGGCCTTTGCGCTTGCAAGGCAGGTGGCGGAACCACTGAGCCAAATCCCTGTATCTTTATTTTTTATTTTGAGAGAAGTTCTTGCCAAGTTGTTAAGTTGCCCAGGCTGGCTTCAACTTGTGACTCTCCAGCATCAACCTCCCAGAGTACTGCCACCATGTTTGGCTATCCTTTTCAATAGTTTGGAAGCAGGACCTTTCTTTTGTTTGTTTCTTGAAGAAATGAGAGCATTAGTTAGTTAGTTGCATTTGTTTGCTCTTAAGGGTCTGTTATCTTTATAGATGCCAGTTTTCTGGTGATATTGTACTATAATTTTGCAAGATGTTACTACAGGGGAAACATAAAGGATATGTTGTATCTTTCTTTATTTCTTTATAACTGTGTATGAACTTGCAATTATCTCAAAGTAAACTGTGTAATTTTAACAAATGTGCCTAAACATCAAGGGGATTAGAATAGTAAAGCTGCTTTACTTCAGAGCACATCTGTAATCCCATAGTCATATGTAGATAACGAAATGGAAGATAAAAAGGAAGAGACATTCTGTTAATGTTATAGAATGTAATTATTATAGATATGAATACAGTGTTTATTACCAGCTTGCCTGTTTATCAGGAAGTTATGATATGTTAAAGCAATAGTTAAAATTACTTCTTATGAATTTTTATTTGCCTTGGGCCAAAGTTGGTACTGTTGTGGTCTATAGTTATTAGAGTAATAGTTGAACAGACACCATAAAGGTGGAAATTGCATAATTTATCTTTATATCCCTTCAAAGTGCTAAACACCAGGCTTTCATTGCACATAATAAGCAGGGCCTTTTTCAGTAACATTTGTCATAGTAGGAATGAAGAATATCAAATGTTGTTTTGATAAAATAACATTCTGTTTTGTAAATTCTTTTCCCACTTAAGGGTCACCTTGGAAATCATGGTTTCATTATCTATCCTAGCTCAATGATTTCACTGTATGGTCTCAGATACTATACGGTTATGGGAGATAGTAACATATTAATTTTATTGCCATACTTCTTTTGGTGGTGCTGGGGATCTAGCCCAGGACCTCATGCATGCCAGCCTAGTGCTCTGTCATTTAGCTACATCCTCAGAGCCTATCATTATTTTCAACAGCAATAGGTAAAATTATCATTTTTGGTGGCACTCATTCCCTAAAATGAAAAAAAGTTAAAAATACAAGTTTGGAATTTTTTAAAAAGTGATAAATCATAAACTCATTTTACTAGATGAACTGGAGCAGTGAGAAATTTCAGTTGAGTTGATGTTCTTCCCTGTGGTGCTTGGTCTTGAACAGGAGTATTACCTGACTGCTTAACTGATGGTTCTGATGTGGTCAGTGACCTTGAACACGAAGAGATGAAAATCCTGAGGGAAGTTCTTAGGTACCTTTCTTTACTTATTTTTGAATGATCATGATAATGTTAATAATCTCCTAAAGTAATCTGTGCGTGTGTGTGTGTGTGTGTGTGTGTGTGTGTGTGTGTTTATATATATATATATATGTATGTATGTATGCTTTTTACCCAGAAAATATGAATTCTGTGCTGAAGACCACACAATGATTTATCACTTTATATATTCACAGGTTGAGAATCCCTTATCCAAAATGCTTAGAGCCAGAAGTATCTAATTTTTGAATTTTTGAATTTGAAATTTTTGCATAGACCTTACTGGTTGAGCATCTCTCTAATCTGAAAATCCAAAATCTTCAACTTTTTTGAGGATCATATTGGTGTACAGAAAGTTTTTGGATGTTCGATCATTTCAGATTTTCACATTAGGAATGCTCAACCTGTATTTCTTTCCTTTCTAAAAAAGTTATTTAAATTTTATTTTAGATTATTAGTACATGTGTATATTACATAATGTTTCCATTCTTTGTGGAAAGTTGATACATGTACATATCTAATCTTAAGTCCTTTTTTCATCCCCTTTCCCTTCCCTCCCCCCATCCTCCACCTATCTTTTGACCCCTTATTTTTTTGATACATATCTGCAGTACATAATGTCTACATTGTTTGTGTGGAGTTGGTACATGTATGTAACACATCCCGATTCCTCTCTTTCATCCCTTTTCCCTCCCACCCCCATCCTCCCTCCATCTCTCCATTCCCTTCCCCCTTATGAAAGATCTATCTCCCTACTTCCTATCATCTGTCTTTTGTTTTGCTCTTTATTCTTACTCTGGGTTTCACAGATGGAAAAAATTATTCTTAAATGACTCATGTTAGATCAGCTTAAATGAGAGCTCTCCCCCATCATAGGAGTGGAGCTTAAGTCACCAATGGAAAAAAGTTCTAGTAGGTCCAGCTTGATCCCTGAAAGCTTTTTTTTTTTTCCTCCAGAAAATCAAAAGAGGAATATGACCTGGAAGAAGAAAGAAAGAGAAGAAAACAGGTGCCTGTGGAACATATAAATGCAACAGAAGTACATTCCGTTGCTATTATCTCCTATTATTTTGCATCTAGTCTCTGTTGTTAGTATTTAAGTTTCTGTGGAACTATATAGTGCCTTAGTATGTGTATTTTCTTGGCAAATCTTAACATTTATATTTAATTTTTATACTTTTTAAATGTAGACAGGGTATGCTTCTTATAAGAATGTATACTTTAGGGCTGGGGATTTAACTCAGTAGTTCCATCGCCTGCCTCGCAAGTGCAAGGACCCGAGTTCGATCCTCGGTACCCCCCCCCAAAAAAAACGTATACTTTATACATTCTTATAAAGAAGGGAGTTCTTGCACTCAGGAGGCTGTGGCAGGAGGATCGCTGTGAGTTCGAGACCAGCGTGGGCTGTATAGTGAGTTCCAGTTCAGTCTCAACTACATAGTGAGACCCTGTCTCAAAAAACCAAAACAAACAGACAAAAAACAAAAAGAAAGAAAGGAGTTCTTGGGGATGAAGTTGGCTTGGTAACAGAGCATGTGCTTAGGATGTGCTTAGGTTGTGCCTGGAGTCAATCCCAGCTCCAAAATGAACAACCAAACACCTCAACGAAAACATTTTTTATAACTTTGGGCATTTTATAATTCATCCAGTAAGAGACCTTTTAAACTCCATAATAAAGACCAGAGTCATCAATTTCATAGTATTCATATTTTGGAAGAGTTCCTTATGAAAATTCCCATTAATATTCTGAATGAAAGAAGATTAAGAAAAGCATGTTACTTTTCCATTCTCCTTGATTCCTTTACTGTGTTGAAATAGCAACTGTAGCTACTCTGACGATTCCCTCCAGGCTTTAATACAATTAGGCTGAAGCAGAATAATTCTGTATCATTTCCTGGCATTCAGTTTCTTCAGTAAGAACCATTTCCATAAGGTGCCTAATGTTTCCAAGGATAAATTGAACATTTACCTGGTGGGGTGATGCAAGCTAATCTTTACCCTTTTCTACTAATTCCCTTTCCACATTTTCCCAGTCTCCCTGAAGGGAAAAGGAAACAATACAAATTATCTATCACTTAAAAGTTGTTTTCATTTTATCTCAATCATTAGGAAACGTGCTTGTGTGATTTTACTTCTTTGAAAATCTTTTATTCTAAGGTGCCCAATGAAGAGCAGATGAAAGATTTATGTATCTTTCAGTAAATTTCTTTTTAGTAAAAGGAACTGAAGTTTTTAGATAATAATATTTTTAAATATAGGGGTATAGAACAAAAATCAGTTCAAAATTACCATTGGGTTACATTAGTTTTAACCAATTTATGTGAAAATCACATTAGGTTTCTTGGATACTATGTTTGTTTTAGAGATGTACAAATTGTTTTTTCCTTTTGAGATATTTTTGTTATTTTTTCCAACATAAAAGTAGAGATAGTAATAATATAATGAACTCCGATGTGTTCATCACCTCACGTATAGGGGCTTATGGTTTGTGTATCAGTGAGTTGCCTAATAAGCTGTATACATTTGGATTTTCCTCTGTTTTTAACTACTTTCTAATTTCTTAAAACAACATTTTCATCTTTGGATTTTGTAAGAGATTCAGTCAAAGTTAATCTAAATTGTCTGTGGGTTCTTAAATTGTATTATGGAATCCTAAAGGTATCAGAGACTAAAACAGAAGAAGCCCTCGTGCATACCAGTAAAGCTGTGGAAATGAGTCCTTCCCAAGGAGATGGTGAACATTTGGCACAGCCACCTTCAGGTAAGGTGAGGTATACTGAACTCTCCCTATTAACATGAATATTCTCCAGAGTTTTATACTTGTTACATGTAACCTTCAGAAATCCTGGGAGGCAACACCGAACAACTTTGGTATTTAAAATTCTTTGTGAATTTAGTTATAGAGTTTGCAAGTAGGAAACACCAAGCTGAAAGTATAGTTCCCACGTTTTTAAGTGAAGACTAAATCTCTGAGTAGTAAGCAGAATACTTTGAAGGAGCTACCAGTTTTATTCTATGGCTGTAGTATTCAAGATACATCACATAACATTTGGTGTGCTCTTACTTGCTCGTTTATATGGTGTTTGAGCAAGAAGCCAAAATTGGAAAGAAGATATTAAATTACTTTTCCAATGAATTAACATACAACTGGAAAATAAGATGTAGCCAGTTTGTCCAGATGTTTAGTCATTAATTGTGTCATTTTAATCAGATCTGATGAGAATCCTTTTAGGAAATGTTAGTGAATGAACTTGTCCAATATGTGGCAAACTCACCTTTATTATGCTTGGATTTCTTATACTATAAGAAAACAAGTAATTCTGAAATAGTAATTGAATCACAGTAATGATTCCAGTTCATTTTATCATGGATTTCTATGGTTTTAAATAAATTTCCATTTCTTAAAAACAGGCTTTTGGGTCAGGAAATTAAAAATATATTTATTTTTATTGGTACATGTTTGTAGTACATACTAGATTTCTTGACTACCATGTTTTATCAGTGTGAAAATTATTTTTTCCTTCTGGTTCCATGTGAATTTTAAGATTATTTTCTCTAGTTCTGTGAGGGAATGTAATGATTACATTCCTGGTGGGGAGTTGGTACATGTACTTAACACATCTTTTTTTTTTAAATCCTTTCCTAACCCCTCCCTCCCCCTCTTGGGCCCCTTCCCATTTGCAAAAGATCTATATCCTTTCTTTCTATTATCTTTTAATTTGCCTTTCATTTATATTTTGGGTTTCTCATATAGGAGAAATCATGCAACACTGATGCTTGTGTGTCTGATTTATTTCACTTAACATTATGATCTCAAGGTCCATGAACTTTTTTACAAATGACTCTAGTTTTTGTTTATGGCAGAGGAGTATTCCACTGTGTATAAATAGCACATTTTCTTTATCCATTCACCTGTTGATGGACATATATCCTGCTTGTAAGATTTAGCAATTATGAATTGTGCTGCTATACACATGGGTATGCATGTATCATTGTAATATGATGTAATTAACTCTTTCAGGAAGATAAGTAGAAGAGAAATAGCTGGTTTGCATGGAATGTTTAGTTTTATTTTTTTGAGAAATTGCCCTGCTGATTTCCATAATGGTTATATTAGTTTACATTCCCACCAACAATGTAGGAGGGGTTCCATTTTCCCCTGAAGCCTTGCCAGAATTTATTATTTGATTTCTTGATGATAGCCATTAATTCTGGATTAAGATGGAGTCTCTAGTGTTGTTTTAATTTGCATTTCTCTAATGGCCAGGGATGTGGAACATTATTTCATGTATTTATTGTCCATTTGTACTTCTAATAGGTGTCTGTTCGTTTCAGTTGCTCATTTTTTTGATTGGGTCTTTTATTTTGGGAGCGTCTTAATTTTTTTTAGTTCTCTGTATATTTCAGATATTAGTTCACTGTCTGAGGTGTAATTGCCAAAAATATTTTCATATTCTGTAGGTTGTCTCTTAACTCTGTTGTTTCCTTTGCTGTTCAGAAACTTTTTAATTTGATAAGATCCCATTTGTTGATTCTTGGTATTATTTCTTTTGCAATTAGGATTCTGTTCAGGCAGTCCTTGCCTATGCCTATTTTTGCTTCCAGTTAATTTTTTTTTGTTTTAATATTAGATCTTTGATCAATTTTTATTTTATTTTAGTACATTGTGAGTGATACAGGTCTAGATTCAATCTTTTCCATGTGGATGGCCAATTTTGCCAGTACCATTTTTAAAAGAGGCTATCTTGGGCCAGGGATGTAGCTTAGTGGTGCTGTGCCTGCCTGGCAAGTGCAAGGTCCTGAGTTCAATCTTTGGTACCAAATAATAATAATTAATAATGATAATAATAATACAGAGTTATCTTTCTCCTAGAATATGTTTTGCCCATTTTGTCAAGGATCAGATAGCTGAATGTGCCTAGAATTGTTTATACATCTTGTATTTTTCATTGAACTAATGTCTGGTTGTTTTTTTGCCCCCGCCCCCATTCCATGCTGTTTTAATCACTGTGGCTTTGTAGTATAACTTGAAGTTCAAGATTGTGAGGTTCCTGTTTGGATTGGTTTTATATTTTGGTTCTTTTCTGGTTTTATATGAATTTTAAGATTACTTTCTCCAGTTATCTGAGGGATGCTATTGGTATTGCATTCAGTGTGTCTGTCAGTTTTAGAAGTATAGCCATTTTGACAATATTGGTTTTGCCTATCCAGGAATAGGGGATATATTTTCATTTTCTGATGTCTTCTTCAGTCTCCTTTTTTAGAATCTTATAGTTTTCTTTGGGAAATCTTTTACTTCCTTGGTGAGGTAAGTTCCTAAGTATTTCATTTTTATTGGCATTATTTTGACTGGTTTTGTTTTTCTAATTTTTTTCTCAGTGAGTTCATCATTGGAGTACAGAAACTCTATTGTTTTTGTGTTTTGATTTTGTATCCTGCTAACTACTAAATTTGGTTATTCTAGTGGATTCTTTTGGGGTCTTGTATGTAAAGGATCATGTCATCTACAAATAAGGATAGTTTGACCTCTTCATTTCCTATACATATCTCTTTTATTTCTTTCTCTTGCCTGATAGTATGGCTGAAGTGAACACTTGAACAGGAGCGGTGAGAGTAGTAGACATCCTTGCCTTGTTCGTGATAAATCTTTTTGGCTGGTGGTACTGGCCATCGAACTCAGGACCTTGCACTTGTGAGCCAGGTAGTAGCACCACTGAGCTAAATCCCTGGACCACCTTGTTCCTTATTTTAGAGGAACAGCTTTCAGCTTTTTCCTATTTAATGTGATATTGGCCATTGGTTTGTCAAAATTGGCTGTGGCAAATTGAGATAAAGTCCTTCTATATGTATTTTCTTCAGGGTTTTTGTTATGAATGGATGTTGAGTTTTTGCATCCATGTTCATTAAAGACATTGGCTTGTAGTTTTTTTTTTGTTGGTTCCATTTCTGGTTTTAGAATCAGGGTAACGCTAGCTTGAGAAATTACCTTGAGAGTACTCCTTCCTTTTTGGTTTTATTAAAGTTTGAAGAATATTGGCATTAGTTCTTCCCTGAAGTTCTTGTAGAATTCAGCAGTGAATTCACTGGGACCTGGGCTTTTCTAAGTTTGTAGTTTTTCTTATTGGCTCAATTTCATTGTCTGTTATTGGATTAATCAGGTTTTTTATATTTTGTTTTGATTTTGGTAACACATACGTATCTAGGAATCATTTTTTCTGAATTTTCCTAATTTTCACAGTAGTGGTAGTAATGATCTTCTGGATTTCCGTGGTTATCTTTTGTGATTTTGCCTTTGGTGCAGGTCTTTTTTTCTTTTTTGGTAAGAATGGTAAAGGGTTTTTAAATTTTATTCTTTCAAAAGGAACCAGCTCTTTGATCCATTCTTTGTATAGTTTTTTTAATCTCAATTTCTGCTCTGATCTTTATAATTTCCTACTAGCTTTGGATTTGGATTATTCATTTTCCTAGGACCTTGATGTGCATCATTAGGTTATTTGGTGTCATTCTGTTTTTCTGATGAAAACTTGTTATCATTGCAGTCAGCTCATTTTGGTGAACCTAACTTAGTATTTCTTATAATATTCTAACTGGTTTCTTGTCTACTCACTGCCAGAAGTTGAGGTGCATTTTGCTAATCCATCAACACAACCCTTGTCAAGAAAGGCAAAAATGTCACCTGAAACATCTTCCCTCCCACAAAAAGGCCTGATGATTCCTGGTTTAGAACATACACGTATTGAAGGACCAATAGCAGTAAGTAACAGACATCACTTTAAGAACGATGAGCAAAATGACAAGGTACTGGGAAAAGTGTAAACAGCCACATATTTGGCTTTTGTTATAAGATTAAACTCAAACTGGTAATTGACACTTAATAAGTGGACTTGAATTTAGATAGTTCCTTTTCTTAATTGACCCAGAATTTGTCAGCACTTGGAACAGAAGAGCTGCGACAACGAGAACAGTATCTCAAGCAGAAGAGAGATAAGTTGATGTCCATGAGAAAGGATATAAGGAATAAGCAGATCCAAAATTCAGAGGAGAAAGGAAAACCTACTGGGGAGGTAGAGGTATGGCTAGCTTTCATTATGTCAAGATTTGCAAATACAGAGGTAGATTTCTCAAAATCGGAGTATGTACCAGAAAGCCTCTGATGAATTTTGCTCATAGATCTACTCAGATTACTAATGTGACAGCTGCTAGATCTTTTCTAGGTGAGTTGTGATGAAGATTTTGTGAGTTTTACAGTTTTTTTTTTTCTTGTTTTAACTTGGCCTTGCTCCAAGTTCATAAAGAACAATTATCTAGCATAGGAGAGGCATGTGAAATGTTTGAAGTGTCCTATGTATAACCCAACTACTGGTACTACCTCCCAGAGACTTTCTCAAGAAGAGATTTTAGAAAAAGAACCCAGTCTATATCTAGCTTTTTTTTTTTCCCCCTGAATATGCCCTTAATCAATGACCTCATCCTTTCGAGGCAGTATGTTGGCAATGTTAGACAAAGGAATCCATTTTGAACTGTAGCCAATATTATTCTTTTCTCTTTTTGAAGGAAATGACAGAGAAGCCAGAAATGACAGCAGAGGAGAAGCAAACATTACTAAAGAGACGAATGCTTGCAGAGAAACTTAAAGAAGAAGTCATTAATAAGTAATTTAAAACAACTTAGCAAAAGTCCAAATTTTCTTAAAAATAAATAATCCTTAAACCAAAATTAGTTTTAAGTAAATATTCGCTTTTGTAAATGCAAATATTAAGCTCATTACTATGTTAAACATTTGATGTGAAGAGTAGGGGGGAAGGCAGCTACTTTGTACTCATCAATTTAGTACAAATTTCTGGTAATGTTTTCCCAGGGAAAAGGACAGCATCATTTTAACTTGGATACCTGTTATTTGTGCTGGCCACAATGTGTTATGTTCTAAGGATATAGTACAAATATAGTCAACCAAATTAGTCTCTACCTTCACAGTGCTGCATAAGTACTACAAAAAACAAAGTACTAGAAAGGAAGTGCAGAATACTGTAAGATGGGATGGCTAGGCCTCCTTGAGCAAGTTGTTTAAGCTGATTGGAAGGTATGAAGTTTAGGTCCTGCAGCAGGAAATACCACATTTAACATATATCACCAAGGAATTAGAAGTGCATAATCAGAGAGGGTTAGCATATAAAATTCAAGATTGATGAGGTACTACTAATCATGCAGGGCCTTATAAGAAATGTGAAAAATTAAATTTTGTAACATGGGCAGTGGGAGATTACATGATCACAATTATTATTTTAAAAGATGTGTGGCTATTGTAAAGATGAGTAGGTGGAGTAGAATAGTTGTGGCTGTGTCAGTTATGAGGCAGTCCAAAGAAAAGATATCTTGGGCATTTACTAATACTCTTAAGGAGAGCCAATTTGGCCTTGAGAAGATAAATGTGAGGGATGTTAAAAATATTCAATTACCTACTCTTTCTAGAGCAGATACTTTGAAAACAACAGGGACAACTGTTAAGAATAGTACTACCACTGGGTGTAGATCTTTTATAAGACCTTGGAATAAGTTTCTGTAATCTATTTAAAGATAACCAAAATATCCACTGTTGTTTCCCAGAATTTCTACCCTTTCCTGATTACAGGACAACCATGAAGTTTAATTTAAATTCCATTTTATCCCCTTATAAAGTTAAAAAAGGATACCAAAACTAAACAGAATTTGCTTTTAGATACACAATTCAATGTTCAACTACAGAAAACCTAGTATTCTCCATGTTCCATTTTTACCATTAAATGGACAAGAAAAACTAGTGATTAAAACACAGAAACATTTCATGTAACATTTTATTAAAAATAACTTTTATATTTGAAATGTTCAAAATACTTTAAGAGACCTAAGGCATACAAATGTGTGCTCTGGCTTGCTTCACTATAAAGATATAAATACCCTGACCTGCCTTAGGGCAGTCATCTAAGACAGCAACTAATGTGGAATCTTCATAGTTGTGCTTCTAAGGTATTTTATTCTCATTGTGCATGAAAACTATCATTCTGGATTTCAAGAAAACATTCACATTTAAAGAGTTCTTAGTATGACAGTGATTTAAAAGCTTAAGACTCATGACAATTCTTCAGAATATTGAAGTCTTCATAAAGTTCAAATTTGATACTTCCTACTGTGATTTAAAGTTGAGAGTCAACGGGAAATGTTTTAGCCTAGACTGCTTAGATTAAGAAGTAATTTATTAAGAGCTAAAAAGTAGTGAGTGATTCAATAAAATTTGAAAGCAAGCATGATCACATAGTAACTTTACTGACGTTGGCCGAAAGTACCCTAATGTATTGAGATGGAAGGTTTTTAGTATAGGTACACCTTAGAGAGGTTAGAATAATTTCATGCTGTCATGTTTTAGTGCTGAGATTTTTATTTGCCCATGGTCACCCTTCTTTAAGTTGTTAACATTAATGGTATTTAAAATGCAGTTGGCCCTGTTTAGGACTTTCATTCAGACTGGAGTATGACCTACTGGTTTATATGATAAATACTTATGGATAATTCTGACTTTTAAAAGATAATGTAAGGGCCAGGGGATTTAGCTCAGTGGTTCCACCACCTGCTTTGCAAGAGCAAGGACCTGAGGTTCAATCCCTGGTAACAACAACAACAACAACAATAAAAAGAATGTAAAGTGGTCATATATCAAAATAATTAACTCATATTTACAATAAAACAAACACAAACATCAGTCATGGAATTACAGGGTCACATTTTAATTCCTGAATTTTACATTTCAGCATTAATATCACCACATGTATACAAATGGTGTAAAACAAGTACAGTGGTATTTTTAATACAAAATAAACATCTGTTTTATGGAAAAACTATACTTCATATCTACACAGACAGCCCATCTTTTCCAAACAATAGCCAAAATTAAAATTAACTACAAAATCTCCAAAACAGGGGAAACTGCTTCAGTTTAAGCTATTCCAGGAAAAATGGACCCATAACACATTACAAATGTGATCTAAAGAGTGTAGCTGGAATTACTATTTTTAGATTTTTTTCTCTCAATGCATTAAATTGTAGTTTGGGGAACATTTTTCTCATCTCAACATGATCTCAGATCATAGATGAGCAAACTAACATTAAAATATTTACAGTTAACTGGCTATTCTAAAAATAAACAACTGTTTGCCTCAATTTGTTATTTTAAATTCATTTACGTATATGGAATGTGCTTTTACTCTTAAAAAAGCAGCTTTTGTATTACACCCTTTGATGGAAAAACTTAATATGCTCCATGTGGCTTTGACACTTACTTTCTGGATCAAAATGGCTTTAGATATTAAATGGTGCTTGTATTCAGCACTATTTTTATCTTTATAAGTTATACTTTAAAACTTGCCTCCATCTCTGAAGAGCCACACAACTTTACTAATAAAGCAGCGACTTGCAGTTATCGTCCACAAAAGTTTGTACTGGTAGGTGGTTGAAAACACTGTTCTATCCACTCCCAAGTTTCTAGAGGATGATTTGGAATACTAATATACTGTTTTTTGGCCACTGTTATCTCTAAAAGTGCAGAGTTTAAAGTTATATTAACAAAACTATCCATTTTGAAAATCCAGTTTATCTATGTCAAAATACATACTGAAAATTCCTGGTGTAGAAAACTCAACATGTGCTATAATGCAGAGTGTACCTCCCTCCAACAATCCAAAAGGCTGAATTTGTGAAATCCTCAAAGAAATGGTCCCAATAGTCTTAACTTCATTTTTAACGATCAATCTGTTGTCCATAAAATTTTTTTTAAAAAAGAGGCAACTGTTTAAAACAACAACATGGCCAGCACCATTATATAAGTAATATTGTTGGGTTTGCAAACGAAGTTTTATAAACTCTGTCTAGATTGGGACACCCACCCCTGGAGCAACCCTGCATTATTCTATTACCAATGTTTTTCCTCTAGCAAACCATCCCAAAACCTGAGACTTTCTCCAAAGCTATCTCCCAGGCTCCAGTTAACTTTTTTTTTTTTGTCTCTTCTTGATAGCCTGAAAAGCAAACCTCTTACTTACGAGTAATTAAGTTCCTGGGAAGCTTTTTCTTTTGCTTTTTTTTTTTCCCTTTTAAAACAGAACTAAACTCTCCTAGCTGATATACTGAGGATCTTTTGCTACTCCTTTGTATTTATAAGTTCAAGTGAGAAGGCTTTCTGATTCAGATTTTCAGCTGATGAAACAGATGCAGCAATTTAGTAAGACCACATGCTGGGGTCCCCCAGTAAACATTTTATGAGCCCAGACGAGGTCTTTTCCTGGGGGATGTTTCTTCTTCTTCATCTTCCTCTTCATCATCTGGATAATCCACTAAGCCAACCAAACTTCCCTAGTGAAGAATTTAAAAAATGTTTTAAACATGCATAACAAGTTTTTAAAGCTTACTGCTATTATAAAGAGATATTAGAATCCATTTTTGTAATTGTATATCTGAAATTAACACATTTGAATTTAAGAAAGGAACTATTTAAAATTATAAACATTAACTGAGAACTAATTGGTAGTATTCTCAGTAACCCCAACTTTTACACTGTTTTATCACATTTTTAGTGAAACCTCCAAACTCAGCTCAGTTTAGGAAAATAAGTACTTTCCAAAATAGTAACACAATCATAATATTTAGGAGCTTGAAAGGACCTTGTAGATGAACTAGTTCACTTCGCTAATTTTACACTACAAGTCTGTAGTCTCCATTTACGTATGTATTTCATCATTAAGTACACATTATTGTTTTTTATTCAGCTCTTGAATAATTTAAAAGGCTGAAAAATGAAAAACACATGATGTTTCCTAAAAATAAATAAAAACAAGGATGAGGGAATTCTGGATTCTGGCATTCTGAGTAATAGACCCTTTAAAAATCTTGGGCACATTCCAGAAAACTGCAGATGTCCACCATTTGATCCAATCTTAAGAAACTTAACATATATATCAACCTATAGGTTAAGAGGTCAATGTAAATACTAGTAGTGTATACTTGTCAGATCTCTAGGAGATAAACCCAGTGAAGTAAGGCATCCTCCATTTAAAAGTAGGTTCATACATAAGGAACTATGGATCTGTCATAAACACTTTTATCAGCATGTAAGTGAAATGCTGTCATTAAAAAAGGCCTCTGAGCATCTACCAAACTTTATTAGAAAGTCTGTGAACTAAACCAAACTTAATGTATGTTTGAGAATCTTTCTACTTCTTGCTCAACTAAATCACATATCTTAAGTTTGGATAAGAGGCAGTATAGCTAAATTTATATTCAGAATATATTGACTATAGTTGGTGTGACTTCAAGTTACAATGCTATTTATCTGAATCACCTTGGGCAAGCAATTTAATATCTAAAAAACTTAGTTTCTACACCTATAAAACATATAATAATACATGTTTAGATGTCACTGAACTATTTTGAAACTTAAACTGAAAAAAACAAAGGATGTAAGCACTTTGGCACTGTATTAGGTTTGTACTGTAGTTAAATGCTACCAATTGACATTTGTTATTCACTATTTGTTATTTGGTTACTAAGCCAAACACATTGGGAGAAAAGAGAAATAATTAGAGTATTAAAAAGGCATCAATCTGATATTCACAAAAATGACAGATTTCCAATAAAGCTTTAATTATGTTTATCATTACAAATCACAAAGTACAGACATTTCAGTCTCAAAATGTTAATATTTTAAATGATATCTTGGCTTAAGACTGTCTGGAAAATGCACCTGCATAATTCTGAATTTTATTTCGAGTTTGAATGCATATTTACATCACAGATACACATTTTAAAATCACATTTACAATAAAAATAGAAATGTAAAATGTTAAAAGTAAAAAAAAAAAAAAAAAAAAAAT